AGGATTTCCTCAGTCTGTTAGCAGAGCAGGAAGTGACAGCAGCCTGTCACTGGAGTTGCTGCTCTGCCCGGAGAAGGTGCCGCGCGGCGGATGCCGGGGACGCTCCGTGATGGACAGAATCTTGTTCAGTGTCCTTTCCGCCACAGATTGAAAGCTGTCCAACGCTGTGCACTTGAAACAGCCTGCTTTCCTCCCCCAGTTTATTCAGGCGAGATCCGTCACTTTTGGCAGTGAGGCAGACTAAGCACGAGGCCGACGTGCCGCCGACGGCATCGAGATGTTAAGATCAAAATAGAAGCTGAGTTTACCTGCGGCGGACTCTTGCGAAGGGAACAACTTGTTGTCCAGAGTTGTGCTGATGTCGCAGAACACCTCCTCTTCATCACGACCTGCATCCAGCTGAGAGGAGAGAGAGTTTTTTTGGTGACTGAAATCCACAGACCTAAACTATTTGATGGCTAGGTGAACTCTGTTGCTAACCAAAACAGCAGCACAAACAGAGGCGCCTCTCCCTGCGCAGTACTAAAGACAATGTGCTCTTCACGTGTTGAGCAACAATTAGCGCAGAGGCGTGATGGGCAATGAGAATATCGGGAGGTTTTTTTTTTTCTCCCGCCTACTCTACGTTTCTGAACCTTGTGTCTGTTTCAATAAAATGTCTGGGACTTTGCTTTTGCCAAGAATCAAGAATGACCAAATAGGCGGGTAAGAAAAGATTGACTTGGTTGTGTCGGGCGTGTTACTTTGTATTATTGTATGATAATATTTTATGAAACACAATTAAAAAAAAAAACAATTGCTTTTTCCGTAAACCCCCTCTGACGACATATGGTCACTTCACAAGGTCGGATGCGTCCATGACTATGTGGCACGAACACTCACGGCAAATCGATGAGCTGTGAGGAGGGGGCGGGGGGGGGGGCGGCATACAGGAGCTCGCCCTTTTTAATGAAGCTCCCGTTAGACTGCAATTAACATAGACTCTTCTAATGATCTGTTCATTAGCCATTAGTGTGTACACACACACACACACACACACACACACACACACACACACACACACACACCCACACACACACTTTGCAAAGATTCATGAGGACATTTCCCAGACCACTTTATTGGTGCACCTGCAGAAGCTAATGAGAGACCTTGCTAAAATTCTGCCTTTACGAAGATCATTTGTCACTGTGAGGTATGAATGTCATGATCATTGATTGTCTTGCCTGTGATACCTCACACTGAAAGCTCTTTTGCGCCAACGGCTGCCTGTTGCGAAGTGAGCCGACTTCACGGCCACCGTATGGCGCTCGTAGCTCAAATTTTCGCAAAACAACTTAGAGCAAAACAGAAAAATTGTGTAAACAGCGGCTCGTGTCTTGAAAAACGTGTAAGTCGGCTCACTCGCATCTCAAGGCACGACTGTATTTTGATCTTTGACCCACACAAAAAAAAAAAGACTGAAAATGAAGCCCTAGTAGAGGTGCCGCAGCAAATGTTTTTGTAGCTTTAACCTAAATTATTTTTAAGCTCCAAAATTTAACCGATGGTAAAATGGAGCACTTCATGTACCTCAGCTTGTGTAGGGCTGTAAGTACGTGGAGTGTGCGTTACCGTGACAATGAGGCCCCGCTCCTGGAAGTACTTGACCAAGGGGATGGTGTTTTGCTTAAAGTTGGTCAGACGCCTGTCGATGGCTTTGGGGTTGTCGTCGGGGCGACCCTGCTGCTCGGCCCGCCGCTGCAGGCGCTCCTTCAAGCGGTGGGTGGTGCACGCCAGAAACACCACCACGTCGGGAGTGCAGATCTGGCGGGAGAGCGCAAACGACCATCGCGCTCCTCAAATGTCTTTCATGCGCTCTTATTCACATACCAGCAAAAATAGCAGACTCGCTTTTGTTTCCGGAGGCAGATTTGAGTGACACCAAAGTTACCGTCTGCATGGCAACCGCACGAATGCACGAAATTCCAGCGTAAGGGATTCACCCTTTCATGCACCCTGTGACCCGATAACATGAGAAGCTGTCCACTGTAGTAACCGCCGTCCCTGAAAGGGTCAATAGGGGTGTGCATCTCCTATAGTGCAATTTGAGATGTATAGCGAAACATGGGGTGCAATATGCTTCAAGGACAGTTTATTTTTTAAAGTGGAGCAATTGGATTTGGTTCGGTTCAGTGGGGATATGAAGAACAAAGCCTCAATTGACCCCATGAACTGTGTAATTTTATTTGAGACAAATGTGTGCATTGACGCATAGCGCACTTGTGAATTCCCAGACATGGAAAGTTATGTCGA